TTGAAGTTCCTGCTGCATTGTATCAAAAGAAATTTCTTTATTTTCCACCGCCATTCCCATAAAGGTAAGTAATCTCATCTTTGCCATATTCTGTTCATGTAATAGGCCTAAATAACATACAGTGAAGCCTGATGAGTATCCGTATTAGTTAAGACTTGTACACTTAAATCTCACATTAAATTATGGAAGTTACTGTTTGAACATTTAGTAGAATAACTTTTCTTATATTTACAAACCATAAACTGACTTCATAATGAAGTTACAAAGTACAGTAGAATCTCTAAGATGACCATCTAAGGGATTATAACAAACTGGTCAACATATGGATGTGGTCAACATAAGGATTTAAGCCTACTGTATTGATATGTATATATATGTGGTACATACCTGGTCTGTAAAAATTAGGTCAACTTAAGGAAGTGGTCAACTATGGAGGTTCTACTATATTTAAAATAATTTTTCTTGGGAGGCCGAGGCAAGTGGATGGCTTGAGCTCAAGAGTTCAAGACCAGCTGAGCAAGAGTGAGAGTAGGTGCCTGTAGTCCCAGCTACTCAGGAGGCAGAGGCAAGATTGCTTAAGCCCAAGAGTTGGAGGTTGCTGTGAGCTATGATACCAGGGACACTCTACTGACAAAGTGAGACTCTGTCCCAAATAAATAAATAATTTCTGTATTTATTACTACTGCCATAGGTAATAGGTTCAAAGTTAAGAATGGGCTATACAACTGTTTTTAGGTCCTAAAAGTTTTATGCATTTTGTATTGTTCATAGTTAATACATTTTAGGAGACAAAATCTACAAAGTACCTTTCATTAAGAACATTTTCTATCTAGTGAATTACCCTAAGCTTTTCACCAGTAGTCTTTATTTAAACACACAGGATGTCTACTTAGCTAGCTTTTCTGTGTCAGCAGAGCTGAGCATAACATTTTCAGCTACGACAATATTCCATTTTGCTTCAGGTCACTTTGGATTTAATACATGTAAATTAAACTGACAAAATATATTTATCATTTATAGGCCAAAATAGGTAGTACTAGATAAAATTAAACAGTACTATGAACAGTGAGTGATATTTTATTCTTTATAAGGCAAAATTAAAAATTATATAAATCAAGTTTTGCACTGTAATTTTTTAAATCACAATTTATTAAGCATACAAGGAAACTTATGGAATTATCTAGTCCTGATCCTTTCACTTTAAAAAACAAAACTGGGAGGGCAGCACCTATGGCTCAAGAAAGTAGGGCGCCAGCCCCATATGCCAGGGTTGGCGGGTTCAAACCCAGCCCTGGCCAAAAAAACCCCACAAAAAACAAAAAAACTATAAAATAAAGGCCAGAAATGAAAAAAAAAGTATAAGTCCTAAACATCCAAATTCTAACCCGGTCTAAGCAGAAGCAGAATCACTGCATGTTACGTATAACTTGTGTTGATGCTAAATTAATTATAAAGACAAGTTATTAAAATTAATCTAGGATTATTTACATGTTCCTTTTCTCTAAGCTTTGAAATTTTATAAAAATCAACAAATTAAGTGACCTCTAATAATTAAGAGCCTCAAGTTTGTATTATTAAAAAAGTTAAGCACTCCATAATTTGAGATTTATAACATTCATATATTAGTGGAAGACTAGGGAAGCCCATTAATATAGGGCATGTTCATCTGTTAATTAGGTGTAATTATGATACAGGATTCCTATTTGGCACAGATTCAACAAAAACATGATCATCATAATTCAAATGAATGAGGCACACAAGTAAGTATTGCTAACCAGGTTTAATGGAAATCTACAAGCATCAAAAAATCAATTAGTGCACATTAACCCTAATTAACAAATGCAAATTAGATGCTGATTAACTTTGTGAAGCAAGAAGGTAGCAACTGGGTAACACCAGATTACATGTGGACATGTTAGGGCAATTCAGCTGACACAAGATAATGCTATTGTTGGCCCAAGTTGTCAGTGTTAATAAAAGAAAATGTTTTAACAAACTAATTGCCACCTGTGGAATCCAAACAGTTGTAACCAGACTTTCAGCTGTAATAAATATCTAATTATACATGTAAAATTAAAAATGCACACATTTAATAAACTACTTTTGGGAAAGCATATTAAACAAATTTCTAACAGAAGATCATTAATTTGCATAGATTAATGATCTATGAAATCAGAAACAGAAAGCAAATGAAAGAATCTGATTTTTGAATGGAACAATACATTAGCAATGTTATGAATTTTTTCCTGTAAGAAAACAAGTATTAAAGATTTTGTCAAAATTCCTTAACATTTCCAGTTCTATGGACATATATGGTTGTCTTTCATATGATAAAATCATAGTAACTGCTGAACCTTCTAAGATGATTTAATATACTCTTAAAATTAAAACTTATCACAGGAATGATTATCTTACATGCGAAATTCTGTCTAAAAACACTTCAAATCAATGTTTAAAGTGATTTTTAAAAATCAAATTTAAAGCCTTCAGGTTCTTGTTCTGAAAAATCAAGCCATTAAGTCAGTGAAGTATGAGTTAAAGACTTGTAGGAAGCTGCGCTTTGATAAAACTAGAATACTACCTTTAAAGAGGATGTCACAGTGTGCTGTGTCATATTTCAATTTTAAAGTTATAAAAATCTAATTTTATGGAAACATTTATTCATTACTAATATGTCAAAACCTTAATGCAGTAATAAAAAAATGTGCATCATTGAGCAATTTCTGCATTGTCACTGACCCCTGTCTTAAAATGCTGCAATATAGAAAACGCAATTTTAATGCATGCAATAGCTTATGAACCAGTGCTCCTTTGAAACAGTCAATTACACATCAATGGGGGAGTGTCAAAGTGTTAATTACTACTCCTTTTTCCTTGGTGCGTAAATAAAGAGGTTGCTGACATTAACATTCCATCACATAGCTTCATGCCACATAACAAATTAACTGGGACAGAATGTGGTTTTCTGGGTCTAGTGCACCTCGCAAAGCATTCTTTACCAACACACTTGCATCTACTTTATCTTGGTGTATTTCAAATGCCTTATTATGCATAGAATAAGTCAATCTGCCCCACTTCCAGTGGCTGCACAAAATTTACAGGTGTCAGGAATTAACGATTACAAAGTTAAGGACTAAGTTTAATCAAATTAGATTATAATTATATACCTCACCTATATCTCAAACAACCAGGAAGACCAAAAATTCAATTTTAATGTGGAAAATATGATCAACATCTAATGTATTTTGATTTTTGCCTAGTGGTAAATGAAGCACCTTACTTTCATTGTTGACTTCACTGTCAAAAAACTGGTAGTTTTAGAACATTTAAAACACGTTCAATTGCAGATTTTCTGTTTTCCCTTTGTAATTTTACTGATGTTAGAAACATGCTCCAGAACATACATTAAAATATAGAACATAAATGTGAAATGAGGTTTTGCTCAATGAGGACGACTAAGATTCGGTTCAGTCTGGGAAACATTTACTGAATTCTGATGTGCCAGATAAGAAAATTCCAGAAGATTAAAAATACTAAACTAACACTTATTACTATGCTCTCTTTAACAAACTAATTAGGATTAATGTCTTCTCTATCATATAAAATTACTGCATCTCTAATTCTTTTAATTAGCAATGCTATATACTTTTGTTAATAGAGGGCAGATATGAGAAAATCAAGCATAAAATACTATGTTATAGGGGAAAAACTGTCACAGATTCATAACTAAAACTTAGAAAAAGGCACCAAAAATGAAAATTATTATGCACCTAAGGAACAAGGTCTTCTACAAAGAAGTGACTCAAAACAATAACATTTAGTTTAATCAAATACCTTTAATCATCAAATTTTTTAAGCTTTTGAAATAAGCACTTCCAAAAGTCACCATTATGATCAAAGTATGATCCTTTCACAGTTGCTTGTCTGCTCCCTCCCCATTCCAAAACTTTAAAAACATATATATTAATGGAACTATTTCTATCTGAATCTCCTCCTGAACTTGATTCTTGCTATAACTTTACCTCAAGGAATCATGAAGAAGAAGAACCAGAGGGCCTAAAATTCAAAAAGCTCTTAAAAGAGGAAAAGAAGGTCTGAGTTATTTGTTCCATATCCCTACTTTCATTGCTGTCTGTCACAAAAGCTGTCCCTTACACTTTCTCGGTTTCTCATTCCCAGTTCATTTTAAATACTCTTTTTAACTGTTACCTCTGTTTGTGCTATTATTAACATACCACACTTATAATTAATCTACAAATAAGGCTATGACTATATCTGCTGCATTTCACAGTGCTTAACTGTTATACAGTAAGTAGCATATTTTCATCATTCTCTATCCCTCAAAGAATAAACCCCAAAACTTACCAAGTGAATCAATGAAGTCTTTATTATTCTGATAAAACTTGACATATGATGCCAATTTAGCACTCACAAAAATGGTTAAAAGCTATACAAATAAGAGACCAAAAAAAAAGATATTATCAGTTCAGAATCAAGACTTTTATACTCAAGATCTCTAAAGATAATGACAACTAACAATAAAACTCTTCATTCATTTCTTTTACTGCAGAAATATCTGATTCATCAACATACTACTCAAACCATCTGCTTTCACATGGGTCACTTTAAAAATGAAATAATAAATATAGTAAGCTCTAAATTATTTACGCTGAAAGATGGTGCTTAATGGCATAGTCCAAATGGAAATTAATCCAAAATGTATTTATTCTTGCACTTGAAAAGTATGTTCATGTTTTTAGATACCAGATTTACTGGCCAGGCACGGTGGCTCACACCTGTAATCCTAGCACTCTGAGAGGCCAAGGCAGGCGGATGGCTTGAGCTCAGGAGTTTGAGACCAGCCTGAGCAAGAGTGAGACCTCGTCTCTACTACAAATAGACAAACTAGCCAGGCATTGTGGTGGGTGCCTGTAGTCCCAGATACTCGGGAACCTGAGGCAAGAGGATTGCTCAAACCCATGAGTTTGAGGTTGCTATGAGCTATGATGACACAGCACTTTAGCCAAGGCGACAGAGAGTGCTTTCTGTTGTCTTTTAAACAAACAAACAAAAATTGATTCATCTTCCTAGTTGGGGCGGCAGACCGTAAGTCATAAAAAGAAATCTGTATTATCTAAGCCCATAATGACCATGTAAATGAGATGAAGGAAAGGGTGGAAGCACAGGACTGTGTTTAGGGGTTGAAGAACAGCTAGTCCTAAATATCTGTCTGTTCCCGATAGAAATAGTTCCTATGTTTCTGGATCTTTCCAATACTTTATTTATTTATTTATTTATTTTTTAGAGACAAAGTCTCACTTTGTTGCCCTTGGCAGAGTGTCGTGGCGTCACAGCTCACAGCAACCTCCAGCTCTTGGGCTTAGGCGATTCTCTTGCCTCAGCCTCCTAAGTAGCTGGGACCGCAATACTTTTTATCAATGCAAAGAAAAAGTACTGTTTCAGTTATTACCTAAGACTTAGGAAAAGAACATCCTTCACATTAAAGGAGAAACTACTTACGTCATGAATAAGCTCGCCTTCCAAAAACTTGACTGGTTTTAAAGTAAGAAGGTGGTCAAAAAGAAATGCGTTTGGATCTTTCAATGCTCGTACAATACACCTTAATTGGAAAACAAAAATGCTATCTCAGAGTTTTGAAATCCCAACTTTTCATGGATTTTTGCAAATCACAAAACATACATAAAATCCAATATATATAGCATTAAAAATGCTACCGGATGGAGTTAAGACAGGCCAATAAATCCATTTATCAGCTTTATCTGTTTTAGCAAAGTGAAATACAATAGATGTAGATACAAACATAGCTGGAGAGAAAGTGCCATGCAATCAAATAGTAAACAGGAGCAGCACCATATGCTAGACACCAAGTACTTTATATGCATTGTATTCCATTTATTCCTCACAACAACCTAAAAGCCACATGGTACTATTATGCCCATTTTATCGATAATGAAACAGGCTCAAAGAACAAGTAACTTGCCCAATAATAAGTACTGATTTGGGATGGTGTAAGAATTTAAATGTAGGACTGACCTCAAAGTAAAGGACCTCTACTAGCTATCCTTTTTACAAATTTCCTGTGTATAGGTCCACATGAAACAATAACCAAGTTTCATGATTTCTACTGCTCAGATTTAAAAATCTGATCCTATTCTTATTGTTACCAGTTAGATCTAAGACTGCTTAAAGCCATTATTCTTACTAGTAATGGGCTGATTTTTAGCAACCCACTAACTTTACATGCCTTAAAATTAACACAAACTGATCCAAGACTAGGTTCTGTTTCTTAGGTTGGGATCATCACCCCTATACCAACAATACCCCACAGAGTAAATACCATGCAGCTACCGTATCTTGCTGTGTATAACACACACCTACAATTTCGACCCAAACTTCCAGGAAACAACCCTCGAGAAAGTGGCTGGGAGACACATATCAGGGGAGGATAACACTCCCCTGGTAAATATGTAGATTATACCACCATGTAGATTATACCACCCTCCTACAGCCACCCACTCTGTGAAGTCTGCCCTTTCTTCTTCTCCTGGGAGCACTTGCCTCTTCGCCACACTGGGGGCCAAAGCTGCTTGGCTCATGGTAGCCAGCTAGGTCCTGGGGTATGCCCAAGGCTCTCATTCCCTTCTGGGCAGCTGGACCTTGGCCGTTGCCCTGCATGGCTATGCCCTGGCTCATCAGGCCCGCCACCGCCCCCTCTCCTGTGATTGTGGTGCTTGGTAGAGGCCACTCTGATCTGTTCCTGTGGGATCCTGGATCTTCCTGGAATGGAACCCTGGATGTCCAGCAGGTCTCGGCAGCCTGCTGGGCTCCTGCTTCTGAGCTGTACTACCCATGTATAACATGCATCCTTATTTTTCCCTCAAAAATTTGGGCAAACTATGTGCATTACATATAGCAAAATAGATATTTCACATGCAATCTATGGTTCTTCCAATACCAATTCTTCAATTTTAGTATCTACATAGAATCACCAGGGACACACAGTATCATTTAAATGGCTTTGGATCACTGGTGGTTGCAAGCATGTTTGAGTTACACAATTCAGTACTACAGCTAACTTCTAAGTTGATGACAAGCACTCATTACAGCATTATTTAACTTTACCTGTGGGCATCAACTCGAGCCTGGGAAGCATTGTCCTCTGTGTAACTTCCAAGCAATTCCACCATAACTTTTGAAGCAGCATCACTAAAAAGAACAACACTTTAGGAATGTGAAGTATTGCTACCGTCATTCATTCATTAAAAAAATTTTTTTTGAACTGGGGTCCCCTTTTGTGGTCTGGGCATGAGGATGGTGTCATCATCATAGCTCACAGAAACCTCAAACTCCTGGGCTCAAGTGATCCTCCTGCCTCAGTCTCCCAAAGTGCTAGGATTACAAGTGTGTGCCACCATACCTAGCCTAAAAGTATCTTTTTTAAGTGCCAGGTTCTATACTGATTGTGTGTGTGTGTATATATACACATATATACAATATGTGTATACATATGCACATATGCATATAATATATACACATATGCATATAATATATATACACATTATATGCATGTATATACACCACATATGCATATAATATATGTGGTGACTAAGAGAGCCATAGTCCGAGTTTGTAGGAAAAGTCACTGAATTTTCCTTTTAGTAAGAAAGACAGCTAAGGAAAAATAAGTGCTATAAAGACAACAAGTGGTGATCTAATAAAGTAACCAGGGCAAAAAACTAAAAGAGGTAGCTAGTGTGAGTAGGGAGGCTCTCTATAAAGAGAACATAGGTAAGCTGAGACCAAAAGTATACAAAATATTCTTTTATATCCTAGATCATAGAAAGGCTGGGTTCGGTAGAAGGTAGGTTAAGATAACTTTCTAGGCAAAGAGTGGAGAAAAATGTTTTACATGTCCCAGAAACTGTTAGGACAACATACACTAAGTTGGGCTAACACCAAATATTTAAATAACTCTACTTAAAAATATCCTTGGGCGGCGCCTGTGGCTGAAAGGAGTAGGGCACCGACCACATATGCCAGAGTTGGTGGGTTCAAACCTAGCCCCAGCCACAAATTGCCTAAAAATAAAAAAATCCTTCTGATTAAATTATCCTTAATTACATAGATGATCAATTTTCACTGTAGGGAAAAGGGTAAAATAATTAAATCCATTAAATGTTCATCTTCATTATTTCCTTTAAACTAATCAATCTTCACTTTGTAGAAAGTATATAGACATCTTTGATTACTAGAAAAAAAATATTGTTTTATTTTCTAAAAACACTCTTTCTCCATATCTGGACTCAACTTGGGTAAAATCAGTAGGAACTATGTCAGGCATCCTCAAACTACAGCCCTCGGGCCCCCTAAGACATTTATCTAGCCTGTCGGGTATTTTTGCCACCCATGCCTGTCCTACTTAGCAGCTGACTTGTCCCAGGGCCCGCAGGCCAACGGTCTGAGGGACAGTGAACTGGCCCCCTGTTTAAAAAGTTTTGAGGACCCCTGAATTATGTCATTTTAAACAGCTGGGAATGGTGGCTCACTCTCAGAGTGTAATCCTTGCACTCTGGGAGACTGAGGTGGGTGGACGGCATGAGCTCAAAAGTTTGAGACCAGCCTGAGCAAGAGCAAGACCTCACCTCTAAAAATTAGCCAGGCCAAGTTGTGGTGGATGCCTGTAGTCCCAGTTACTTGGGAGGCTGAGATAAGAGAATCACTTAAGCCCAAGAGTCAGAGGTTGCCGTGAGCTGTGACACCATATCATTCTACTGAGGTATACAAAGTGAAATTCTGCCACACACAAAAAAAAAAATTAAAATAAATAAAAAGTTAAGTGGTATTATAAAACTGCTTTCAAAACTAAGTTTTACTAATATATAAATATCATTATGGGCATGGCTAAACTGTAATCAGCATCTTTTTTTTTTTTTTTTGAAATGGAGCCTCAAGCTATCACCCTGGGTAGAATGCTATGGTATCATAGCTCACAGCAACCTCAAACTCCTGGGCTTAAGTGATTCTCTTGCCTCAGCCTCCCAAGTAGCTGGGACTACAGGTGCCCACCACAATGCCCGGCTATTTTTTAGTTGTAGTTGTCATTGTTGTTTGGCAGGCCTGGGCTGGACTGAACCCACCAGCTCTGGTGTATGTGGCTGGCACCTTAGCCGCTTGAGCTCTAGGCACTGAGCCTGTAATCAGCATCTTGAAGTGATATAAACAGCAGGCTTAGTGGCATATACTCATAGTCCCAGCTACGCTGGGGCTGAAGTGGGAAGATTGCTTGAGCCTAGAAGTTCAAGTCTAGCCTAGGCACACAGTAGAACCTTGTCTCTAAAAAAATTAAATAAATAAATACACAGTCATATAATTATAAAAACCCAAAGAAAAACTTTAAGAAAAACCATGTTCTACTTATTGTTAATTATTTTGTTCTATAGTGCAAACATAGATATATGTGATTTTCCAGTTTTAGCAGCCACAGTATATTTCAATCTAGTACATGTTATCAGCTAAAGAAATTGTTTGAATTCACAAAGATCAGATAAAATAATTTTTAAACTCAAAATATTAAGGATTACAAATGTTTTTGTTACATGGATACTTTGTATAGTGCTTCAAAGTCAGGGCTTTTAGTATGCCCATTGTACCTGACAGGTTAAATTTTTACCCCTCATCCGGATAAAATCATTTAAAGTACACAGCATAGTATCTGACATATAATAAGGGCTCAATTACTGGTGTTATCCTTTAAAATGCATGACACCATCTGCACTCAACACCACCAATATAAATAAAATTATGAAGGGAGCACCTATAAATGTTAAAACATACTTTCTTAACAGGAATTGTTAATTATAAATCTCAGAATTCTATTATTTGAAAGTAGAAAAAAAAATTTATGTGTACTAAAGAAGAAAACCAAATCTCAGAATGTAAATCAGCAGAACAATGTGTTTAAATATCCTCTTCCAGTTCCCCAGTGTGGGTACCATCTATCCACTCAATGCCTTTTGGGGAATTTGAGACCTAGGTCATAGGCTAAAATTCTGAGTAAGATCAGCAATCACAGGACCAAGAAAGAGTAATTTACAAAGGTATCTGAGAAGGAACAGCCAAAGAGGTTGGAGAAAAATAAGGAGACTGGTGTCATTTAAGTCAAGAGAAGACTTTCTATGAGGGAAGAGGTACAATGGTCACACTCTGCTGAGGTCAAGAAGATGAGGTTCCTTGCCCTCAGAGCCTACAACCTCACTTTTTACAAAAGGCATTAAAATGCTAGAATAAAATTAGAAGATGCTGTAAAGAGAGGCCCCTACCCTAAATATGAGATGGGTGTTTCAGGCAGAGATGAGAAATTGAGCACAGGAGACCTAATTTAGACTAGGATAGGCAAACTTTATAGATAGGGCCAGAGAGTAAATATGTTAGGTTTTACAGTTTATTTTCTGTACGACTACTTAACTTTTGGCAAAAGCAACCACAGATAATATATAAATGAATAGGCACGGACATGTACCAATAAACTTTATCAATACTGAAATTGGAATTTCATACAATGTCCACATACCAGGAAATTTTTTTTTTCCTTTTTCTTAACCATTAAAAATGTATAAATCATTCTTAGCTGTGGACCATACAAAATCTGATGCCAGCCCCTGGTCCAGACTGGAAAAGAACTTTGCACTTTCATACCTGACAAAGGTTTGCTATGTCTAGGATGTGATAAGCAAGAGGAAGGGTATGGATGTGTGAGAGAGAGACAGAGAGAGATCAAAGGAAGGTATATTTATATGCACCAAAGTTTTCGTAGTCTGCCACTATACCACTTGAAAATGCAAAAAGATTTTCATCACATTCACCATGCTAAAGCAACAGGTCAGAGCTCATGTTAGAAGGCTTTACATGCCATTTATGTTGTACCCTAAAGAAAATGAAAACTTAAAGAATAATATGCTTAAATATGTTTCTGAAAAAACTGTGGTTGCACAGTGGAGAAGTCACAGAAGACCACGTGAGAGACTGTTGTGACAATCCAGAGAAGTGATGATGACAGCTACAGAGATGTAATCACTAAAGAGGGAGAAATAACTAGGCCCGGTAAAGAAATAAAAGAGATAAGGGAGAGAAAGGTATCAAGGATGTCATGTCTCCCTTAGGCAATACTCATATGCCATTTACTGACAATGACATAGAGACTTAAGGGGCAGAAAATGATACATTCACTTTAGTCACATTGAGGTAAGGCACCTGTGGTCCCACAGCCAAGTAGCAACAGGTAGAAAATGGTTGGACATAAAGATCTGAAGCTCAGAAAAAGCCTGAGTTACAGTCATGGATTTTCATTTCACATGTAAGAGAAGCCAAGGGAACAGACAAAATGAAGTAGGGAGAGAGTAGAGAGTAAAGAAGCAAAAACTGGAGAATAACAAGGAGTAAGTCAAGAGAAGAATTTCTATAAGGAGAAAGGAATAATGGCCACACTCTGCTGAGAGATCAGGAGAAGACTATCCACTGGACTGCATCTGTTCTTAAAAATGAAGGGAGCTAAACTCAATACAAGAAATTAACTTCATCTATCAGGAAACTGGGCCTTTTATAATTACAGTGCTTTAATTTTAATCTGATTGCCTTAGGAAGTTCAAACCACCACTTCCTATTGTCTTACATCTTTGTCTCTTGTAGCTGCTGCTTTTGCCACCTTTTTTCTTTTTTAGAAATAGCCATTCATTCAACAAATATATACTGAGTGCCTATCAGTACTAGATACTATTCTAGAAAGGAAAAAAGCAAAGTCCCTGTCATCATGAAACTTATTTTCTAGTGGGGACAGACATACACTAAACATATAGTATGTGTAGTAAGTGCAAAGGAGAAATAACAACATGGGGATGGGAGAAACGCAATGAGGGAGTGGGAGTACTATCTCCTACACGGGGGGTTGGGGGGGCCAGCAAAGTCATTCCTGATGAGTAATACTCAGGCAGACTTAAGGGATGGAGCCACGTGGATATCTGGGAGAAGACTGCTCTAAGAAGAGGCACCAGCACCAAGGTACTACAGGAGGGTTCTGAGTAAAACAGAGACACAAACTTATCTTCCACATAAATACAAGAACATACTATGGGGGAACAAGGACCAAAATAGAGTCTGGTCATGAGGCTACTGTAATAATCAAAACAAGAAATGAGGCTCAGCGCCTGTGGCTCAAGTGGCTAAGGCGCCAGCCACATACACCTAAGGTGGCAGGTTCGAATCCAGCCTGAGCCCGCGAAAAACAATCACGGCTGCAATCAAAGAATAGCTGGGTGTTGTGGTGGGTGCCTGTGGTCCCAGCTACTTGGGAGGCTGAGGCAGGAGACTTACTTGAGCCCAGGATTTGGAGGTTACTGTGAGCTGTGACGCCACAGCACTCTATCCAGGGGGACAGCTTGAGGCTCTGTCTCAAAAAAAAAAAAGGAAATGATGTGGCTTAGAAGACCATCTGACAGCAACAGAGGTAGTGAGAAGTTGGTCAGTTTAGATTTATTTAGGGCTGAACAGATTTGCTGGTATATTAGACGTGGGATAGAAGACAGAGAAGTCAAGGGTGAATCCCAGGTTTTAGTCTTAAGCAATTGGAAAAATGGAAACGGCATTTCCCCAAGTTGGAGAAAACACAAGAGGTTTAGAAGCAAACATCAATGGCTTACTTTTGGATGTAAAGTCTGAGATGCTTTTTGAATGTAAGAATGGAAATGTTAAATAAGAATAGATATCTGGAGTTTGGGGAAAAAATACAAGAGGTAAAAATTTAAAATTATCAACCTATAGATGGTGTCTGAAGGTACGAGACTGAATGAGATCACCTGAGGCAGCAACACCTCTCCTTTGTGTGCCCTGAGGTAGGTCTAAGAGTATGGAAGCTGCTTTGCTGACTGGGAAACATGAATGACACAGACTGGCCTAGCAGCAAGGAGGGCAGGGATGCTAAGTGTTTGGTGGTAGACTCAACAATCAGCAACACAAATGACTGTCCCCTCCAAAAATACATTTAGCTGCCAGAAGCTTCTATAGTCACAGCAAAAAAACACAAAACAACAACATAAAATGAGTGTAATGAAGTAGGAAAGGTCCCAGGACTGAATTACTCCAGTGTTCAGTTAGGGAAGATGAGAAACGGCTAGAAAGCTGTCAGTGTCTAATGCCTCAGAATGAAAGCCAAGATCCTCCACTATCTTCTTTTATGACATGATCCAACTTTCTCAACAAAAATACACTTCCTCTTGTATAGCTTACATTACTTCATTTAAAACAACAGAAACATACTAATCTTGCTGATTCTAATACATGAACACTCCACCACTAAAAACCAGTATAAAATTTGTACAAGAAAATGAAACTGAATGTTACTTTTTCTGAAAATGTTTAACCACTATGTAAAAAGAGAAATTGAAAAACCAGTGCAAAAAAGCTAAAAGTATCCTTCATCACACAATACAGCACTAATTCCATAACTGGGCCAAACTTATCATCTGGCAGGTCCTAAAACTGGGTAAAGGCAGTCCCTGAGCTATAAACATCTGACTTACATATAACTCACACTTATGAATGGAGGTTATTCCAGGTAATAGGTAACTGTACCTGTTCTAACTTATATAAATTCAATTTAACAACAAATCTACAGAACCTATCCTATTTGTAACCATAAACAGGCCTGTATATGAAGGGTATTTTGGGGTATAAAGTTTGTTGGGTTAATGACAAGACTCAGAAACCCAAGACCTCGAGAAGCTCAACAGGTACACATTTGGTATAGTCTATTCCTTATACAGGAGACTGTGATAACTTCTGATTGGTTAAAAAAAAAAGTGATAGTACTATCCTGTACAAAGACATCAAAGCAACATCAAATAATTAGTCTCATGTTACATATAGCATTGGGATTAATAATCATACCACTTTTAGGCTCGGCACCCACAGCACAGTGGTTACGGGGCTGGCCACATACACTGAGGCTGGCAGGTTTGAACCCAGCCCAGGCCTGCTAAAAAACGACAACTGCAACAAAAAATAGCCAGGTGTTGTGGTGGGCACCTGTAGTCTCAGCTATTTTGGAAGCTGAGGCAAGAGAATTGCTGAAGCCCAAGAGTTTGAGCTTGCTGTGATCTGTGACACCATAGCACTCTACTGAGGGTGACATAGTGATACTCTGTCTCAAAACAAAAAAACAAAAAAAATACTACTTTTAGAACAAAAGCGAGTTTTGCTTTTTATATAGTTTAGAGATGAGAGAAAACTACTTTCATTTTTATAGTTATCTTTAACTTAGCAGGCAAATTTTATAGAAATAGATTTAAAGCAACTCTTTGGAGAACAAAGTAGAGCAAATTACAGGCCCTACTTGTCTTTAAAACATTCTCATCGCTTTATATTGTCTGCTGAGTTGTAAGTTGTAAGTTCGTTACTTCTGAATTACCTTTTTTTACAGTCCACAAGCGACTCATAAAGTAGTCTTAAAAGGGTGTGTTTTTTTTCAGTGGTGAGATTCCAGTCAGAAATCCATTTTCTAACCTATAGTGAGATTAACAAAAAGAGACAATCTGTAACCCAGCTAAATATATTTTCACAATTGAAAAGATAACATTTAGAATACGTGTATCTGCTACTTCAGCTACACATGTAATATAAAGGTACATTTCTTATAAACAGAACAAATATTCCACATAGTAACTCACTTGATCCAGCTCAGTCGGAATGTACTGGATGGCCCCACAAGATGCTGCCACTTTAATAAGGCTGCAATACACTGTATATCTTACAGGAGTGTTCTTGTCCATTCCATGGAAAAGGTTGCTTAGCCTGATTAAAAATAATAAAACAACATTTGAGATTAGTAGTCATGGTATTAAGTTCTGGTTACTTGCTCTCACCACAAACCTGTGGCAGGTACTATTAATAACTTCATATTCCAAAGGAAGAAACGGGGGTGCAAAAAGGTTAAATGACTTGTCCAAGGTCACAGCTAGTAAGAGCCATATCTGAGAGTCAAGTTCCAGAATTCCTGCTTTGAATCATTAAAACTTAGTGACAGGAAAATAGTCTCTTGATATACCAAGGCTTTTTCAATTCTTAACTTACAACTGTAGTCTCAGAGATGGGCGTTCACCTTCACGAAATTTGACCAGTTTTTCGCATAGGCTTTCAATCAAAGCTTCTTGCTTGTCTGGTTCCAAGATCAAGAGGAGGGATACCACGCTGTTCATCACACTTTCAACATCTACACAAGCATCGACAACACAATCAACAATGAGAGTACAATATCCAACGTGTCCTGCTTATTACGTAGTTCCAATGTTTTAATACAAAAACCATTAAACATAAGACACTTTTTCTTTTCTTTTCTTTTTTTTTTTTTTTGTGAGATAAGTCTCACTTTGCTGCCCTCAGTACAGTGCCGTGGCATCACCGCTCACAGCAACCTACAACTCTTGGGCTTAAGCAAGTCTTGCCTTAGCCTCTCGAGTAGCTGGGACTACAGGCACCTGCCACAACGCCCGGCTATTTTTTTTTTTTTTCCTAGCAGGCCAGGGCTAGGGTTCAAACCCACCAGCCCTGGTACATGTGGCCAGCGACCTACCCATTGAGCTATGGGAGCCACCGTAAGACAATTTCAAAAGATGTAATCTGTCCCCTGTAGTGCAGTTCTAGAGGATCTGTATTTTTCCTTCAATGGATGGCAACAAAAATATAGTAAGCATGAATCCAAACTAAACTAGCTCTGCTGCATAGCTAAACATTCAGAGGGTAAGTTGCATATTTTATTAAAGAGGAAGGAAACTTATCTAAGATTTGGTTTCTAACTAGTAAAATAGATCGATTTACATCTTTATTTACAGTTTACACACTTTCAATTTTCTCTGTCATGATATTTAATCATTTGGAAGTTAATGGCAATGTTTTAGGCTAGGATGCTATCTCAATTAAGGAAAACTTTTTTTTTTTTTTTGGAGACAAGAGTACCATCGTGTCATAGCTCACAGCAACCTCAAACTCCTAGGTTCCAGTGATCCTCTTGCCTCAGCCTACCAAGTAGCTGGGACTACAGGCACCCACCACAACACCTGGTTAGTTTTATTATTATTATTTATTTATTTATTTATTTTTTGAGACAGAGCCTCAAGCTGTCCCCCTGGATAGAGTGCTGTAGCATCACAACTCACAGCAACCTCCAACTCCTGGGCTCAAGTGAGTCTCCTGCCTCCGCCTCCCAAGTAGCTGGGACCACAGGTGCCCACCACAACGCCCAGCCAATTTTTTTTTTTGGTTACAGCCATCACTGTTGTTTGGCAGGCCCGGGCTGGATTCGAACCTGCCACCTTAGGTGTATGTGGCTGGCGCCTTAGACGCTTGAGCCACAGGTGCTGAGCCTAGTTTTATTATTTTTAATAGAGATGGGGGTCTCACTCTTTCCTAGGCTGGTCTTGAACTCCTGAGCTCAGGCAATCCACCCACTCTGGATTCCCAAAGTGCTAGGATTACAGGTGTGAGCCACCGTGCCCGGCCAGTTAAGGAAAACTCTGTATATACATATAGAAAAGTATTTAGAAATCTAAGTCATTAACTTTCTGGTTGGGTTACTCATTTTCAGGTATTATAAATGTTAACTATATCCCAAATTTCTTCTCTAAATTTTTTTTTAGTGTATGTGTTGCTGAAGCAAACACCCAAGTTTAAGCACCAAACCTTAACTAGAGATTTCAGGACTACTGATTTTCAAAATTTCTCATTTCATCTTAATAAGTAAGAAATAAACCTAATAATAAAATGGCTTTTGGATTACTTGAAATTATATACTATGTAGTATTAATCTAAACCTTATGAACAGGAAAGAGCATCATTTTTTTCTTTTAGTTCATTCCAAAACAATCAACATTTAATGTGTGTAATAACATTCAAGAAATAAATAAATGTGACATTAAAAAGATGTTTTCTCAAAACAAGCTCATTTTACAGGTAAAACAGATTAGATAAACTGAAAGTATGTGCAAAGATAAGATTAAACACAATAGTGTTTACACTACAGTTAACAACATATACTTCAAAAAGCTAGAAGAGAAAACTCAGAATGTTCCCAACTCAAAGATAAATGTTTGAGGTGATGGATAATCCAATTACTCTGATTCGATCATTACACATTGTATGCATACATCAAAATATCACATGTATCCCCCAAACACAACCATTATGTATCAATTTTTTAAAAAGTCTTAAGTTTTGAAGTTAAAAACATACAGATATTTGTGAGTCTGTGGGTTTTGCATCCAGTCTCAACCAACCACAGATGGAAATATTGGGTGCAGATGACAATAAAAAAATCCAGTATAACAACTATTTATGCAGCATTTACATTGTATTAGGTATTGTAAGTAATCAAGAAATGATTTAAAGTATATAGGCAGATGTGTGTGGATTATATACAAATCCAGATTGTAGTATCCACTGGGAGGTCTGGAACCAATTCCCCTCCACCCTACCTGGATACCAGCAGACAACTATATAATTGACAAGAAAATTTTAAAAGTAGATTCTTATTATTAGTGAGAAATATTAGAAAAATTTAAAACATACCTTTATCATCTTCCTTCAGACACACATCACAGGCTTCAATAATTTGAGCTAAATCTACATGAAGTCCACCTTCTGAGTTCTCTTCTGAGATCTCAGCTCCTTTAGATTTCAGATAAGCACGAAGTTCAGCAGCCTGTTGAATCAAATAGTTACTATGTATCTACAAAACAGATTATGAATGACAAAATATAAAATCTCAACCCACTCTGTCTTATTTCTGAAAAAGTAGAATGCAGATACAATATTTAACAACTACTTCAAATTATTTTATTTTTTTTGAGACAGCGCCTCAAGCTGTTGCCCTGGGTAGAGTGCTGTGGCATCACAGCTCACAGCAACCTCCAACTCCTGGGCTCAAGCGAGTCTCCTGCTTCAGCCTCTCAAGTAGCTACAGGCGCCCGCCACAACGCCCAGCTATTTTTTGGTTGCAGCCGTCTTTGTTGTTTGGAGGGCCCAGGCTGGATTTGAACCTGCCAGCTCAGGTGTATGTGGCTGGTGCCTTAGCCGCTTAAGCCACAGGCGCCGAGCCAGCTTCAAATTATTTTAAAGAATTCTCTCACCTCATCATGACTGACAACCTTATAGGAGCCCAAAGTTTTTCTCCACAAAGCCCAGTGGCGCCTTAAAATCACCACTTGCATGGATCACCCACACAATTTCTCTCATGCCTTCTGTACTGTGCTAGACTTCAGTATACAGCAAAAACCTTTCTGAAGTAACTCAAAAGTTTCCCTGGGGGGGGGGGAGGGTTGGGTAAAGAGGGCTGTTGAGAAAAAGAAATCAATCTGACTTGGTAAATTTAACTATTTTGAAAGATATGAAAATATTTTTGTACTTAAATGTATATAATAATATTCGTATCTACTAGAAAAGTTAGATACGACCTTGGCAAAAGGGTAATTATTAATTACATATTGGAGAACCTATTTGAGACAAGCATTTTGGGAGCTGCAAAGACATAATGCCTGTGAATGATTCCTTAGAACAAAATATTTATATCAAATTGAACTTCTATTATCAAAAAGTACCTTTGGATCTATAAAAAAAGTGAATAGTATCACATTCACTCATTTGGACATTTCCTACCCTTTTTTTTTTTTTTGCAATTTTTGGCTGGGGCTGGGTTTGAACCCACCACCTCCGGCATATGGGCCAGTGCCCTGCTCCTTGAGCCACAGGCGCCACCCATACTGCCTACCCTGTTTAATAAATTTTTGCAGATTTGTTACTATGGCAGCCAAACAAATGCAGGTGCTTTAAAAGATAATAAAATGAAATAGGCAGATGAAAAAATACCATTAATAAATGTACAGATATCACATTTTATAGACCAAACCAAAAGAAATCTTGCTGGAGGCCACCAAAATTTTTAAACCCAAAAATATGTTTAGTTACCTTAGAGAAGTATATTAAACCTATAGATCTGACGGTACTGTCCTTTTAGGTTAACGAGAACCCAGTAACTTCACACAGGAGTCAGTAGTATAATGAAGACTTGAAGTAAAAAAAAACTGTCAAGCATGCTTCTCTATGAAAGATGGTCCAATCAAGAAAAAAGGCATTGGTATGGCTCAGCACCAGTAGCTCAGGGGTTAGGGTGCTGGCCACTTTACATTTGGTGCTGGCAGGTTAGAACCTGGCCCGGGCCTGCTAAACAACAATGACAACTACAACAAAAAGATAGTTGGGCGATGTGGTGGGTGCCTGTAGTCCCAGCTACTTGGGAGGCTGAGGCAAGAGAATCACTTGAGCCTAAGAGTTTGAGGTTGCTGTGAGCTGTGACACCACAACACTCTACTGAGGGCGACACAGTGAGACTGTCTCAAAAAAAAGGCACTGATCCACTTTTGTATAAGCAAAGCAAACTTTTTCTAATGACCATTCAATTAACAGTTTATTGTTGTTATGTCATACTCACTGGCCACAAGGGTTGTGGAGCAGTATAAGCAAAAGAAAACAAAAGATTAAGAACTGTATTTCTTAACCAGAATCAAACTGAGAATCTGACCACTGTTAAACTCCTGAGGCAATCACATATGTTCCTATGAAAGGACTGACTAGTGTTAAACTGATGTATCACAAGAACAAAAGCATTAACTAAGAAATGACACTTTAAAATATGATAAACAACACATTTCTCCATCCACAAATTTTGGGGTACATTAAAAAAAAGGTCGAATACTTTTTCAGTAACCCAATAGCCAACTGTTGGTAACATACTTCCATTCCTATTCAGGTTATTTGTCTTTTTATACCTTCCTTTCTATCTGTTTAACTCCTTCCCTTTTTTATTTTCCCGAACTTTGTTTTTCAGGACTGTAGGACTACATTTCTACCGAGGGGGTAATAAAATCACTTCTGCAATTCTAGAATTTATCTTAGACTAGTAAACAGTAAAGACATGGAAGCCAAAATGTCCTTGTTAGTGGAGTAGCAGAAATAAACAAAAGGACAAACTTAAGACTTCACAGAATAATTTTCAGCTACACAAAGTTAAAGAATATCATTTCATATTTAGTTTAACCCCCACCAATTAAACTTTCCTTATGGGAAAAATGAGAAACACCAGCCCTGCGTACCAAGAGCAAACCCCAAATGGGAAATTTTAATATATCCAGATGGTCCAGTAGGTGTATGCCTGACAGGTGAGGGAGGAAATGACACCTTATTTTCGGGATACAGAACTCTCACCTTCGCTTTCTAGTACTAGAAAGCACTGGTCTATATATAAAATACGGTCAACGTTGCCTTTGTGATCACAGTAATGAAACGATTTTGATTTTTAGTACAAAATTATTTTCCCTAGGCTGCTTATGCCGACTACAGATTCGCCACTTCCCACTCCGGATGCGCCAGAATTTGGAGAACGGAAGTAGACTGCACTCCTCATCAGTCAAAAAGTTACGTCCTGAGAAGTGACTCCACACGGGGAGAGTCCCGACGCCGACCTGGCCGTGGAGGGTCAGGGCCCGGCTGGGAGCGCCGGCCAGCTCGCTGGTGGGAACCGAGGCCAGGAACTCGCGCCTGTGCCTCGCGGCCTCCCCACTCCCGCGTGTGGGAGACAGCTGTGGGTCTCAGCCCCGCAGCCCGCTCCGCGAGGAGGCGTCCTGCCTGCCGGCCCAGCCTCAGCAAAGGTCCCTCATGCTCCTGAGGCATCCCCAGTCCACCCTGCCGGCACGCGCAGCGGGGCAGCACACCTGGTCTTCCTCGCTGATGTCGATGAAGGCCGGGACGCTCATGGTGAAGGCCGGGGTACCGCGGACACTCCACTCGCAAACCACGCCGACCGGAAAAGGGAACTGAGCCGCGAGGCGGTGCCACACAATCGCTTCCGGGTTAACCCGCGCGGATCCTGGAGGGGGCGGGGTCAGACGGAAGGGCGGGGCCAAGAGAGCCAATCGTATCGCGCGGTCTCGCCGCGGCTGGAGGAGTGGCGGGCGCTCTCGGGGGCGGGACTTGTTGCGCCTCAGCCCAGTGTCTGCGGCCTCTGGTTTCTAGGACCGAGCAGCTCCCGGTCCTTTTCCTTGTATCTCCGCAGGTCCCACCGTAAGTCAACTTCCCCGCTGAAATTTTAAGCTTGTTTGGTCGTGCCAAATGTTAGTGGGCCTGTGGAGCACGTGGAACTCTCGTATACTACTATTGGGTATATGAAATGATACACTTTGAGGAACAGCGTCAGTTTTTTAAAAAGTTCAACACGTACTTATTGTATGACCCAGCTATTTTACTACTAATTATTTGCACCCCCAAATGGAAGTGTATATCCATACAGAGATTTGCACACCACTGTTAATCGCAACTTTTAAATATAATAGCTTTATTGGGATAAAATTTACCCTTTTTTTTTTTTCGAGACAGAGCCTCAAGCTGCCCCCCTGGGTAGAGGGCCCTGGCATCACAGCTCACAGCAACCTCCAACTCCTGGGCTCAAGCGAATCTCCTGCCTCAGCCTCCCAAGTAGCTGGGACCACAGGCGCCCGCCACAACGCCCGGCTATTTTTTGGTTGCAGCCATCATTGTTGTTTGTTGGGCCAAGGCTGGATTCGAACCTGCCACATTAGGTGTATGTGGCTTGCGCCTTAGCCACTTGAGCCACAGGCGCTGAGCCAAAATTTACCTTTTTAAATCATACAGTTCAGTAAGTTTTAGTGTTTTCCCAGTTGTACAACCATCACCACTATCTAATGTTAGAACACTTTAATAACTCCAAAAAGAATCCATGTATCCATTAGCTATCATCACCCAAACCCTTGGTAACCCGTGCTTTACTTTCGGTTTCTATGAATTTGCCTTTTGTGGACACCTTATACAAACAGAATCATAACCTATATGGCCTTCTATGTCTGGCTTCTTTTATTTAGCACAATGTTTTCAAGGCTCAAATAGGTTGTAGCAGGTATCAGTCTTTTATTCCTTTTTATTGCTTAATAATATTGCATTGTATAAAGGCTATGTTAACCAGTTTGATGAAAGTATTTCAAATTGTATATAAAACCAGCACATTGTACCCCATAATTGCATTAATGTATGCAGCTATGATTTAATAAAAAAGATAATATTGCATTGCAATGGATATACCACATTTTGTTTATCTGTTCATCCATTGGTGGGCAATTGGATTGTTTCCATTTTTGGTTATTATGAATATGGTTTCTACTAACACTTGTGTACAACATTTTATGTGGACATATGTTTATATTTCTCATATATACCTAGGAGTGGAATTGCTAGGTTATATGGTAACTTTATGTTTAGTGTTTTGAAGAGTTATTTTCCCAAAAAGGCAACAGCTGTACCTTTAATAGCCGCAAACAGGAAACAGCCCAACTGTTCATAAAGAAGTGAATGGATGAAAAGAATTGCTATATATTTGTGTATTGGGCTACTATTCTGCAATAAACACGGATGAATTATTGATATGTGTAACAACATGGATGAATCTTGAAATAATTTTCCTGATTATTCCAGGAAAAGAAGCCAGACATATACTTACTGTATAATTCCATTTATACAGAACTCTGGAAAATACAAACCAGTCTATCAGTTTTTCATGATAGTGGCAATACTATGGATTGTTGTTGCCTTGGGTGGCGGAGTGATCAAGGAAGAGGGAGAAATAGGTTACAAAGAGGCATGAGGAAACTTGGGGGTTATGGTATGTTCATTATTTTGGATGTGATAATAGTATCATGGTTGTATCTTTATATAACTGGGCTCAGTGACTCATGCTGTAATCCTAGCACTTTCAGAGGCCAAATCAGGAGGATCAAGGATTGCTTAAGACCGGGAGTTTGAGGGCAGTCTGAACAAGAGCAAGATGCCCTTCTCTGCAAAAATCCTATTATCCTTTTAACAAGTTTGTGATACAAAGAAGGTGTAGTAAGTTTTTGTTATATTAGTGAATGATACCCTGAAAGTTAACTCAGTAAATTGGTTTTCAAAAAAACACTATATAATTGTTTTAAATTTTAATTTTTTTTTTTTTTTTTTTTTTTTTTGAGACAGAGCCTCAAGCTGTCCCCCTGGGTAGAGTGCCATGGCATTACAGCTCACAGCAACCTCCAACTCCTGGGCTCAAGCGAGTCTCCTGCCTCCGCCTCCCAAGTAGCTGGGACCACAGGCGCCCGCCACAACACCCGGCTATTTTTTGGTTGCAGCCGTCATTGTTGTTTGGCGGGTCCAGGCTGGGGATTCGAACCCGCCACCTTAGGTGTACGTGGCTGGCGCCTTAGCTGGTTGAGCTATAGGCGCCGAGCCTAAATTTTAATTTTGAATGAAAATAATTTAATTTTGAATGAATATGAATGATTACAACATTCTATAAAGACCATAAAAAAGAATTTTTTTAAAGGGTGGCTAAGACTGTCATCTGATAGCCACCCTCTTATGCCTTAGTAGTAGACTGTGGTAGATGTTGCAACATATCCTTCTGTGAAACTAAATTTATCAGCTTTATTATAGCTAGATGTAACCAGTGAGATGCAGATGAAAATCTTGAGAACATCTTCTGGGAAAGCTCTTTTTGGGAGGCAACTCAACCTGGAAGCTGACTCTTTTGCCCTTGCCCTTTCTTCCTTTTTGCTGCCTAGAATACGGACTTGATGGTAGGAGCTGCAACAACCAAACCAAAGACATGGCCTTGAGGGTGGAAGCCATGATAGTGGAGAAGAAAGAGGGAAGAAGCCATATCCCCAGTGATGTCAAAAAGGTGTGGTACCAGCCCATGACTGCCTATCTCTAGACTTGTTATTTTTTTTTTTTAAAGAAATTTCCATATTGTTTAATGCACTATCATATTGGTTTGCTCTTACATACAGATGACCCTAATCTAGAATGACAGAAAAGTTTGAAGTCTAAAGTCATAGTTTTGTAAATGAAAGACTTATATAAGTGCACGTTAACAAATTTTTCTCGTGCATATTTATGGTGGGAATCTTAGAATCTTAGTGCTGTTGCAGTAAAACTTTGAATTTACAAAGCTTGTAGCATCTAAGGATCTCAGAGATTGTAGCTAATAATTAAATTTTATACTAGTAGTGCAACATATGATTATAGTGACTTTATAGGTGAAACAAATGATATTTAAGCCCCTTGATTGGTGACTTACTGAAATATATTACACCTGAGCTGTAGATCCAGCAGCAGAACTGATACAGTACCTTAAATTTCAAACATTTAGACCATTTTAAAGCACTAATCTTCCCATTAGTCACTGTAATAGGAGAAAATTCATAAGGTTAATCTCTTCACATCAAGTGACACAGCTGGTTATTGAAGCATTCGTAAATCTGTTGAATCGAAGGAAGACATGTCATTATTCATGTTTTTAAAATGATTTCAGAAAGGCATGCCATACCGGAGGAAAAAACTTAATGCGCAGTCAGGAGTCTAATCAACTGTTAACAATGAAAATGCAAGAGTAATTTATGAGCTAATAATTTTTATGTTTTGGGGAAAATGCTATTATTTTAAGCTCCGATATGAGGCGCACTAACTACAACTGAATGAAGTTTTACTATTTTATTACTTTTTTTTTTTTTTTTAGACAGACTCACTGTGTTGTCCTCAGTAGAGTGTTGTAGTGTCACAGCTCACAGTAACCTCCAACTCTGGGGCGCAAGCAATCCTCTTGCCTCAGACTCCCAAGTAGCTGGGACTACAGGCGCCTACCACAGTGCCTGGCTAGTTTTTAGAGATGGGGTCTCGCTCTTGCTCAGGCTAGTCTTGAACTCCTGACCTTTAGCAATCCACTCTTTTATTTTATTTTATTTTAAGATGAAGCAACAGAGACTCAGAGTAGTTAGGCAGCTCTGCTACCAGAGGCACAGAGCAAATATCAGTTCTCAAGGATTCCTGTTCAGGTCTGTCTAATTTAAAAACGGCTGCTTTTTTGTTGTTGGTGATTTTATTTTAAAAATAGGGTGAGGTGTGGTGGTTCATGCCTGTAACAAGCCTGGGCAATATAGTGAGGTCCTATGTCTACAAAAAATTAAAAAAATTAGCAGGGCATGGTGGCATGTGACTAATCCCAGCTATTTGGGAGGCTGAAACAGAAGGATCAGTTGAGCCCAGGAGTTCCAGGTTACAGTAACTATGATGGTGCCAAGGCATTCTAGCCTGGGTCACAGTGACACCCTGACTCTAAAAAATAAATAAATAATACAAAAATAGAATGTAAGAATTCTTTACTTAATGTAGAATATATACTTCTAAGGTAAATGTTTGTATTGAAGTCTAACATATGTTCAGTAAAATGTACAAATCTTCAGTGTACACTGTGATTACTTATACACGTATAACATTCATCCAGATTAAAAAAATTAATTAGCCATGAGAGGAACGCCAGTGAACGTAACAGTGAGATACCACTTCATACCTAGAATGGTTATAATTTAAAAAAAAAAAAAACACACAGTAGCAAATGTTAATGAAGGCATGGAGAATTTGGGACCCTCCTGTACTAATGATGGAAATATAAAATGCTGCAGCCACTTTGGAAAATACTCTGGCAGTTTCTCAAAAAGCTAAATAGTGTTATATGGCCCAGTAACTCCACTCCTGGGTATGTATCCAAGAAAATTGAAAATACATGTTTATGCAAAAACACGTATGTGAAAGTTTGTAATGGAATTATTAGTAGCAGCCCAAAACATTTATAATAGCCAAACGTCTATCAGCTGATGAATGGATAAACAAACGATATATTTACACAATGGAGTATTATTTAGCAATAAAAAGGAACAAAGGACTGATATATACTACAACATGACTAAATCTTGAAAATACTATGCTAAGTGACAGAAACCCAAAAGAAAACACATGTTGTATGATTCTATTTGGCAGGGATTGGGGGAACCTGATTGAGGGGAAAGAATAGGAAATGATGACGAATGTATAAGAGATTTCTTTGTGGCATGATAAAAATGTTCTCAAATTGTAGATGGGGTTGTGAAAATGTGTTAAATCCAAAAAACTATTGAATTGTTTCAGTGGGTGAATTGTATGGTATATGATTATATCAACGCAATAGTTTTTAAAAAGAAAGAAGAAGTGCATTGGAAAGGTGCCTCTTTTAGTTTTGATAGAGGCTAGGTCAGATGTTGTGGCTTTTGATCTGTGAACCAAACACGCTGGGTTACTGTCAGCCCCAAAGGTAGGCATGGGCAAAGCTAGACAGGGAGGCCGCTGATATGGTAAGACTTACACCAGGGAAGAACATAGATTCATACCCTCTGTGGCCAGCTTGCCCAAGAGGAACAAAAGTTAGGGATAGTTAGGCTGCTCCCTGCTGCAGGGCTAGAAGGGAAAATTTCAGATTCTCAGCCCAAGACTACTCTTTATGGGAGGACCACCCTCTACTGGAAAATGGTGGACCTGAAATCAGCCTGCCGCCTTAGTCTTCCCACATGCACCAATATGATAAGTCCCGCTACTTCTCCGTTGGGCAGAGTGAGATGAAGAAGTATCAACATAGACACTTCATAGAACTCCCTTCAGTTGGAAGTAACACTTCAGGAGCAGGGAGGGACCATTTCTCCCAGCACTGACCAGTTCTGCCCTTATCATTCATATTGCTATTCAGCCTCCAATCATTTCTTGTCTAGACTGTAGAAGTCATCTCCTAACTGTTAATGCTACCTCATCCTCTGAGATTATGCTCAGGGAACCTTCAGAACAAGTATAGCCTAAGATTTTATTTGTCTTGCATAGCATTAATTTCTTTTTTTTTTTAGTTAATTGCTGTGACAGACACTTCTGGTAACTTAATCAATACATATTCTTTCTTTTCACTTTACTAGCACCACCTTGCTTTTTGTCAGAGTGGTATCATGCCCAGAATTATGTTTCTCAGTCCCTTTTACAACTGGGAGTGGGGAAGTCACATCTTTTGGCTGAAAAGGTGATAGGAAAGTTGCTTTGTGCGGCTTTCTGGAAAGTTCCTTGAGTGGAAGCATACTTAACTTGCAGGAGCCTTTATCCTTTTGCTTTTCCCCTTTGTCCTACCTTGGATATAGATGTGAAGCCGAGGGTGGGATAACCATTTAGCAAAGGTTATCCAAAGGTAAGGTGTTGAGGATGGATTCCACATGCTGCAGGATACAGTGGAAAGCTGAAAGGAACTTGGGTCCTGGTACATTAGGGAATCACCTTTTCAACTCTGTGGAATTTACCTCTGGATTTCTAGTTTTACAAAGAAAAAGCACTTTATTTATGTAAGCCACTATGTGTCAGTTTTATGTTGTTACTTTCAGCCAACCTAACTGAACAGATTTGGTTACCAGAAGTGGAGAGCTTCAAGAAATAGAACCTAAAATTTGGCATTGGTTTCATTAAAGAACCAAGGCTTTGACAATGGAGACACAGATTTCACACACCGGGAAGAACATGACCCTTGTTTTATGATGTCAAAACGTTCTCTATGGAAAATTGTCTCCTTTTGTTTTTTGGAACATAAACCCTGATGGTTTATATTGTTGTTAGGGGAAAGAGTTGATATAATTTATGTTGACAGGTTGTAGTTACTTCTTGCCACTTTCAGCATAGTCCCAAAGGATGGTGGTAAATTCAGACTAGAACTACCTACTTTGTAAGCAGAGACAGATATTAATACAATTTGGGTTGAGAGCCACTCTCAGCCTATAGCCTCTAATCTCAACTGACTGACAAACCCTTGCTCTGGAGCCCCACAGGTTGAAAAGCCAACTTATACCCCTCATGCTGACACTAGCAAGGCTAGCTGCAGCAACTGGGTAAAAATGGAACCCCAGGCCTTTCTAAAGAATCTCTCTTTAGGAGTTCTTAACCAGAAATACATCAGAACATGCTGATAACAATTAAATTAAAGATCTCTTCCCATAGGTCCTATTGTTTCAAAAACCTCAAAAACTGTTACTCTAAGGCCTAGAAGAAAGGATTTAAAAACTCTAGAAAGATCTTTGGCGATGGCTACTCCTGCATGAATCTTACAATAGAAAGCCTTCCATATTTTTGAGGGAAATCCTATCAAGAACTGTGAAGGCTCTGAGATTTTACCATACTTGATTTTACCATACATACTGCCAACGTGTTGGTAGAAGACACAAGATTCACAGGTTAGAGACAAAAGACTTTATTACAGCAGAGTATTCACTATGAGCTCTGCAGCATATTTGTATCAGTTCCCTTACCCCCAGTTCCCAGAGGTGCTGTGTGGATGGGCCCAAATATGTCAGCACTCACTATGGGTTGCATTACAGATAAGAAACCATGAGCTGAGGGAACTCAAATATCTTATAATGCACAGCAAGCTGGCCTGCCCTTCGTCGGTATAAAAACAACTCACCTTCCAAGGCTATTTGATATATAAACATTCTTGAAAACATAATCTGAAATGATGAACAGCCAGTGATTCTGCTTTCAAGATATGTAGAGATACAACAGACCCATGGAAAATTGTCTCCAAAGACTATATGACCAAAGAAACTCCATAGTTGTCTGGCAACAGCCTTTGGTTTTTCAACCCCTAAGACCATGCTGGGTACTTAACCTCTCACCAAGTAGAAGTGAGCTTTGAAGGCTCTGTGAGATCGGCTCGGCACCTGTGGCTCAAGCGGCTAAGACGCCAGCCACATACACCTAAGGTGGCGGGTTCGAATCCCCAGCCCGGGCCCGCCAAACAACAATGATGGCTGCAACCAAAAAATGGCCAGGCGCTGTGGCGGGCACCTG